AAAAAATCTGAAAAATTGCTTGAGGCCAATGTTACCTGAGCAAACTAATGTAGTTGGAAATTTCCAGACTATTCAGAATGATTTTGTATTGAATCAATTAGAAAACCACGACAATTTTTGATATAGAGTAAAATTATAGATCTCTAGTTTAAACCGTCGGTGGCACTGAGCGCCGTTTTCAACAATCGACAAATTGCATCTGTTTTAAGAAAATAATCTATGTTTATCGCTATCTGACTGCACAAAATGGAAAGAACGATCTCTTTGATGAAATGAAGCCTTCTTGTGTTAGTATGATTAAATATTTATAATTTAAACCGAAGACCTGCTATTGAACCTGCCCAAATGTCAACCCAACAATGCCTAATCCAGCTTCCAATGAATTTCATAAAATGCGTTTTTGCCAAAGAAATGGCAAAATCAATGTGATTTTCAGTTATAGTAAGATTTGGATACCAAATGCGGGTCTTAATAATGTTTTGATGTGGCCTTAAAATGGCTTGATGGTTAATTTTATCACTTAAATCAGCTGATTGTTTATAAACAAGGTCAGCGGACTATCTAAAAACCCGCCAACCGACGCTTTGTTTTTATGCGCACCAAAAACTGCGCACGTTCATTTGCAGCTGAGTCGATTACACAGCAAAGATGTCGGACGAAGAGATGCGAGGTTTAATGCCATATTTTACTTAAAATACACATTCGATTTCCGTGATTTTAAGCTGTTAGCTTCCTTAGATATAGATTTGAAAGTTCAAGTGTTCAAATCGTGGGTATTGGTTGTTGTTTCAGATGCCTCGAGCAAGAAGAAGGGAATCTTCTCTAGTTTAAAGCGAAAGAAAGGTGGCCGTGGTAGGAAGTCACGCTCAATGCCACATCTTATCGATGCACGACTCAATAATAATGGTACCAAGTTGAATAATACTAAYACTATGCATTTYTCCCCATCAGCYAAGGATGCGACAGAGGACGCTGGTTCCTTGCAACCATCAACAACTGAGGGAGCTGCGGTTGTTGAATGTACTGCAACGGACGTTTCTCCCGGGTCAACGGTAAGGTTACTTCCTTAAAAGTTATCTTAATTGTTTTCTCTCAACACTCTAGTCATTTCACGAAGCATTTTGTACGCCTACTTGAAAACTAGAGACATATTTTCTTGTTTATACACCATATGTAAATATAAACATGAAAACATCACTTCATACCAAAGCGTCCGTTGTGGATTTTGCTCGCTTTTTGCATRTTTATTTTAGCCCCATTTTGTGTTATAACCTWTGTGATTATTTCCTAGGCTGGCGATGTTGCCAAAGCCGGTAAATGTGCCTTCTTTGCACTCGATGTTGAGTTAAAAGAAGGAAAAGACCTCGCCGCCCGGGACAAAACAGGTATGTACTTATAATTTCGTGACGTTTATAAATAGAGTTTCCTTTGAAAACAATAAAAGCTACAGGAAACATGAATTTAACTGTTATAAACCATAAAATATAAAATGACATCTCAACTATTTAAAACCATACGCTTCAGCTATACATTTTGCGATTTAAATCTTTCCTTTGGTTCTGATTTTAACTCTGGTATAAATTATGTGTTCCAAGGAACTTTAAAGTGACCAACTTGGCTATTTAAAATTTAAAATTACATTTTGTTACATAACAAAATAGTCTGCTATTAAACCACTTGTTGCTAGATTTCAAAGCTTGTAAACATCGGAAATAAAACCTAAATACTTTACATAATTTATTGAATATAAATCCTCTCTTGAGAATATTTGACATAAAATTAAAAATCCTTATTAAGTTTTATTCAATGGCAGTGCTTGTCCAATTGTGATTTTATTGTGACTGATATATGTTATTGGAAGAATTTTCAGTGCAGTTGTATCTAAAAATGTAGTAGCAACCACAATGCACCCAGATTATAGTTAAAACTTGAATTTTTAATTGGGCAATTTCTTATAAACATGTTTAAATTCAAGAAACCAAACTTGACCATTTTATGCATTAGACTCAGTTTATCAGACGTACAAACTTCCAAAATTTGATTTATTGCATTTTGCTACCACTTTAGAAGTCTAATTTTCCACAGCAAAGCTCAAAATAATCCAAATTAATTATAAATGCTGTCTAAATAGTATTTTTGCATATTTAAGTACAATTGGATTATGCAGAATGCTATCTTGCTATTAAGCTCATTAGAATCTGAAATGCTATTGGCTTAGACATAGCTGTTGTCAAGAGAATTCTTCAATCTAACAGGTATCGCTGGCAGGTATCACTGCTTGCTTAGCAACAAGCGATACTCTTGAAAAACCTAAGATACACAGAAAAAGACTGTTGAAAAAATAAAATTGAAGTGCATACTGCAATCCTATTCAAAAATTATTTTCTTAAGTCAAAGTTCTAGCCCCATGAATAGCAACTTCAATCTTTTAAATGTTCTTGCAAAACTGTATTTAAAAGTGTGTGTGCCTCTRCAAAAAGACATTAGAAATTTAAATTGCTGTTTAAGTGCATTGAATGATTCCTACAAGTGAACTTATTCACTCCAGTGTATGTTTTTTTGATGTCGTTCAACGACATAAAGATGTGATTGTTTTAGAGTATTTTTTTTTGTATTTACTAAAAATATAAATATTCAAAACTGTCACTACTGTTTATGCTTTCTTTTTGTAATGTTTATATCTGTTAATCTCCTTTTGTTGATAGTGTAAGTTCTAAAATTTAAGTGCTTAGGGTTACAGTAACAACTGTATACATACACATATGGAATTTCATAGCCAATTATTGTCTTCAACTCCTTAAAAATCAACTCAAATCCTTCATTATAGTTCAAAAATATATTTTTCCTCCATGACTAATATGTACATACATGGATATAATATAATTTTATTATTTATTGTTTTATAATTTTGGATTTTACTAAACAAAAAGCTTTCATTCTGTACAGGGCGATGGTGGTAAGAATAATACATGCAAATGTAAAGCTATAATGATTGGCAGTATTGTATTTGTCTTGCAGTAATTTTTTTCTATTTTAATTGCATCGTCATTTGTGTTTGACTTATTTTTGAGTGGGAAATGATTGTGTATAGAATAAAATTTTTTTAATATGTTATCTCAAAAGTGATGAGTTTATCTTTCCTTTATTTCTTTGCCATGTTTTTTTTTCCTCTTAATTTCATTATCCTTCACTTGATATTTCGTATTCATTCCACAACATTTTAAACTTTCCATTATCTTTCCTTATTTTTTTCTGTTCTTTCTTATCGTACTCCTATCTTATGTTAGTACCAGTATATTGAATAAGATTTGACTCAGTCTTGAGTGTGATAATATTCATAAATGCAAGACAATTCAATACCATGCCACATCTGTAGTAACTAACAATCAATTTGTCGACATCTAGACACTTACCACGTGGAGTTTGAGCATGATGGCGTTTATACCAAAAATGTTCAGCGTTCAGGTTTGAATAAATACTAAAAATCTAAACTTAAAATAATATATAAATTTAAACTTATAACTTTAAATATGAAATTTAATTTAATATATAGTGAAATGAAATTCAAAACTATGGAATACGTATAAAGAATAAATTCAGTATTTAAACAATGCATGTGTAAACATAACTAAGATGAATAAACCTTTTTAAAATGAAAATCAATTTAAGAAATGATTTAAAATTTTAAATTGAAATCTTAACAAAAAAAAATAAAGGAATATACTAAATTCCATTAAACATTGAATAAAATAAATTTTATGAATTTTAAATTTATAATCAATAAAGTATCAATTGTCGTTATTATGATCATTTGTAACTTTATTAGTACTGTCTTTAAACAATAACTTATTTTAATTTCAATTTTTATTGTTTCTCTTTCCAGGAACCAGTGACCCTTATGTCAAATTCAAAGCTGATGGGCGACAAATTTATAAAAGTCGCACCATTTCAAAAAATCTCAACCCACAATGGAACGAAAAGTTCTGTGTACCCATTGAGGACATCTCAACACCAATGGTCCTAAAAGTCTTTGACTTTGATCGTGTTGGCAATGATGATCCAATGGGAAAGGCTGTTGTGGATCTCACTTCCTTAGAAGTAGAAAAGTAAGTTTACAATTGCCTTAAGCCGGCTAAATACGAGAAACAAAAACCCTCAACTTGGCGCGAAACATTGTTTCTGTTCAAGTTGAGCACCGATGTTTCTCGTTTTTCACGATGTATTTTTGTTGCATAACAAGTTGACGATGCATGAAAAGCAAAAAAACTTTGATGCCCAGAAACAATGTTGCGCGCCAAGTTGATGGTTTTTGTATCTCGTATTTAGCCGCCTTTAAATTCACTTGTGACTTCCATAGAAACATGAAAAAAACAGCTGTATTGAGTTGTCTGTACATGTAGGTCGTTTGTGTTGTCTTGTACTCCTTAGAAATAAAAATTTACATTGTGATTCCAAATATCTGTTGCAAATTCGCGGCCTCAAAAGTTTCTTTGCTTTCTACACAGGCCAACAGAAATGGAACTAGAGCTCGAAGGAGATGATGGAGAGAAACTGGGCACAATCTGTGCAATTTTCACAGCAACGCCAAAGAATATAGAGGACAGACAAGAGGTCACTCGACGAGCCTCTGCAAACCGTAAAGCGGGAGCCGGTGGTAAAGGGGGCGACCCCAAGGGTGCTGTAACTGGCCAACTGTGGGATGGTATCGTCTCGATTATCTTAGTAGAAGGCAAGAAAATGATTCCAATGGATGACTCAGGTAAGAGAAATGAAATTGTAACAAAATAAAAAAAGGAAATGAAAAATGGGAAACAGATAAATGCACGTGATTTGCTCTTACAGTGTAGTTAGTACTGTAGGTCATATTGCGCAAGTTCAGGCAACCCGGTTTTGTCCTTAAGCAAGGCTGTTCGCTCTTTCAGTCGATGTTCTTGTACACATATGCACATGCATATAAAGTATAAGTCTATCCGAGAGCGTATATGGATGTCCAAATGTAATAGCCTATGTTATTAGGTTTCAGTGACCCCTACTGCCGATTCCGTTTGGGTAATGAAAGATACAAGAGCAAAGCTTGCAAAGAGACTCTTAACCCTTATTGGGCAGAACAGTTCGACCTCAAGTTCTATGCTGATACTTCCATGGTACTGGAAATCGTTGTGTATGACAAGGATATAAGAAAGGATGAGTTCATGGGAAGGTATGTACAGTATAGATTGTCAACTATTGAATGAAAATCGCACGACTGAAAGAGGCTACGTTGTACTTACGTGTCCAATGGGGAAATCATTTAGCACACGATTTTGTCAAAGCACTTTGTAGTATCTTTAAGTTATCTAAAAAAGGAACTTTTCCACTCAAAAATAACCTTTATAATTTATGAATTTACAGGGATTTCGGAGGTGACCTATTTTTGCATTTCATTTCAATTTTCTGTAGATGCCAAATTGATCTAACTTCTATGGCTCGCGAGAAATCTCACAAAATTGAAGCAGAACTAGAAGACGGGGCTGGTACGATCATCTTCCATCTTGCAATCACTGGACAAGAAGCTCCGGGAAGCGAAGCTGATCTTGGCGCATTCAAGGAAGACCCAGCACGTAGAAAGGAAACAGTTAAGCGATTTGGTTTGAAAAACACCCCAAAGAAGATCAAGCAGATTGGATGGCTTCAAGTCAAGTTGCACAGAGCTGTTGGGTTAGCTTCGGCTGATCTTGGTGGTGCTAGCGATCCATTTGCTGTCGTGGAAGTCAATAATCAGCGTCTTGTTACCCATACCATTTACAAAACATTGAATCCTGCTTGGAACAAGATATGGGAAATGTAAGCACATTGATTGATGGTCGAAGCTGTGAAAATACGCATCTTATTCAACTTCCATTTTGTTTCTAGGGAGATTGCCGACCCTCATGACTTTCTGGACATTACCGTCTATGATGAAGACAAGAGAGGGGCCCCAGAGTTCCTTGGCCGTATCATGATACCCCTTTTACATGTATGTATTGGTGTTATAACACAACGAAACGTGACATTTTGTAACGTAATCTATCAGGATGTAACGTAAGCTTTATATTTTGTCAATAACGCTTTTCTCATCGCAGTGTGACATAGAATAACGTAATGTGAGACACTGTAACTCAATGTATCATGTTATATCGCAGTGTTTAGTATTGTAACCAACGTTTCATATAGTAACGCAATATCGCGTACTGTAACGCAAAGATCCATTACGATCTGACAGTTTGACATATAGAATGACAAAAACGAGTCCGAGGAAGGATAACATCGTAAAATCCAAAATTTGGATTTTACGATGTTATCCTTCCTCGGACTCGTTTTTGTCATTCTATATGTAACGCAAAGAAGTCACACAGTGTAACACACTGTTGTATAATGCAGTACCATGTTGGGGTAGCCCTTCACGGTTTTGCAAGATCTTATCCGACTGGTTTACTAGCTATTTGTTAAATAAAAGAGAACAATAGGATTTAAGAACGAGTAAACAATGAGCATTGTTTAATTCCACCAATCACAAGAAACCTTACAAACTAGTGAAGGTTAAGAGGCATGCTGCAAATGACCATGATTGCTATGTTATCTCCTAGGTTACCCCAGGAGAAAAGCGTCTGTACCAATTAAAGAACAAGAGCTTGGAAGGACGCGCCAAAGGACATCTCATCATGACTCTAGACTTTATCTATAACCCAATCAGAGGTGCCGTTCGAACCATCAACCCACGCGAACCCAAAGTCATGTTCGAAAAGCCAAAATTCAAACGACAGGTACGCCATATTGTYTCAGTRYATTAAGCTYATTWGGAAATGAGATCGTTGARRTTTTTTATCTCTTGTTTCAGCTTCTTCAACGAAATATCGACCGAACAAACAAACTCGTGGCAAGTTTAGTGTCTGCTGGAGCGTTTGTTGGGTCTCTGTTTACATGGCAGTACAAGTTTAGAAGCGCCTTTGGATTTATGGTATGTTTACCTTTGATTTTGTCGTTGAAGATGTCACTTTACATGTATTGAGTTTCTACTCTTTGTTATTTTAATATTGTTTTTGTCATTTTCCTTGTTCTTTTATCTTGTTCTTGTTGGCTTCTTGTTCTTGTTTTTGCTCTTGTTCTTGTTTTCGTTCTTGTTCTTATTCTTTTTTTTCTTTTTTTCTTGTTGTTCTTGATCTTCTTCCTTTTCATTTTTTTTTTCTTCTTGTTGTTTTTGGTTTTGTTCTTCTTCTTCTTTTTGTTGTTGTTTTTCTTCTTTTTCTTCCTTCTCTCTTCTACTTCTACTTCTTTTTATCGTTCTTCTTCTTCTCTTCGTTCTCCCGTTTTCTTCTCCTTATCTACTTCTCTTCATTACTTCATCTTCAAAGTGTGTCCTGTCGACTTCACAGATTTACATTATGATTTTCTTCTCCTTGTCTACTTCTCTTCATTACTTCATCTTCAAAGTGTGTCTTGTCTCCTTCTCTTCATTACTTCATCTTTAAAGTAATTTGTCTTCTTTGGTTCACAGATTTACATTATGATGTGCTTGAACTTCGATTTCTACATTATACCGCTGACACTTCTACTTAGCTTCTTGAAACAATACGTCGTATGTATGTTGATGACAGACCGAAACGTCAACCCCGAAGAACAGGTAAGAACAACTTTGATTGGTTGTTATTTGCTCACGTGGTGTCATTTTGACCAATGACATGCAAAAAATGACCTCGCGGTTTTTATCGTAAGAACAAAAATATAAAAGCGAATTTGAAATACATAAGCGAATTTTGCACATTATTGAGAAGTTATCTTACACAATGTAATCGTTGTTGTTTGCAGGAAGGAGGTGACGACGAAGACGAGGATGACGATGACGATGAGCCAGCCGAGAAAGGAAAGAAGGTAAGAAGACAATCCACCCACCCCTCCCATAACCTCACCCGCTGTTGTTAATATATTCGACTGATGTTTAATTATAGAAAGGAGAAGGGAAGAGCTTTAAGGAAAAGATGCAAGCTATCACGAATATATGTTCCACTGTGCAAAATGCTCTCGATGAAGTGGCTTCTAATGGCGAACGCTTAAAGAAGTAAGGATGTCTAATTGATGGATTGATTGATTGATTAAGTTATTGATTGATAATGTTATTGATTGATGGAGTGATTGATTGATTGATTGATTATGTTGTTGATTGATTGATTGATTTACTTATTGATTGATTGATTAATTAATTAATTAATTGATGGAGTGATTGATTACCTGATTGATTGATGAACTTAGGACTGACTGACTGATTGGTTGGTCGATTCATATACACATAGATATAGCTTACGATGAAAAAGAATGCTGATAAAATAACTTTTCCTATTTTCAGTACATTCAACTGGACAGTTCCATTCTGTTCTTATTTGGCATGCGCAGCATTCACTATTGGTACAATTGTCTTGTACCTTGTTCCACTCAAGTTCTTACTACTCGCCTGGGGAATCAACAARTTTACCAAGAARATCCGAAAACCAAACGCTGTTGATAATAACGAATTAGCTGAYTTCTTGTCACGTATTCCATCCGACGTTCAAATTGTAAGCAATATTTTGTATTCATTCCTTGATTGGTTGATTTATTTATTCATTTCTCCATTTAATCGTTTATTTATTTATTCATTTTTTCATTTCTCCATTTAGTCATCTATTCATAACGCAAAAAAAATTGCGTTTCTTTTGGGATTTTTTTTTTACCATCATTTAATCTCTCTTTTCCAGAAACAATTGAAACTCCTGAAGACTGATCCAGCACTTAGGCTCAAGCGAGTGGATGACTAGCTMCGCTGTCCCTTCCTACGATTCTTCAAAGAAATCCTAACAGGTTCATCAGATCACTCTGATGTCCCCACATGAAGGAATGGCCCTGGCCTAGCTTTCCCACAAAATGGAAAGTGAAGAAATATGAATTGAAATCAAATGGATGAGAAAATGTTTTTTTACATAGATGTAAAGCTAGCATTCTCAAAATTTTGCCTAGAAACCTTTTAAAAAATCAACGAAGAGTTTCCACATAGAAGAAAATTATTTAAAAATTTCAAATTTGATATTTATAACTTACAAATTGTACAGTCGTGTAGTTAGCGAGTATAAATAGAGAAAATGCCTTGATTTTATTTAATAATTAGCTAGATAGAAGTATTTACAATTTAACGACGAAATCGTCAATTTATCAAAGCATAGAATGTCCCGATCCCACCCCTAGTGAATGTCCTAATGTCGACCTCAGCGCCCAACCCTCGGGACTTTTTTTTCAATTGCCAGATGCAAGCCTGATGAAGGCGATTGCAATTGAAGTCTATTAGACTTTGTTTATTGTCATGATTATCGATGCAATGCTGAAGAGAATTGTACATTTTTCTTTTTTCTTGGATTATTTAACAAGCACCACTGCTTTGCACTATTTCAATAAAATCACTTTTTAAAGTCATAATTGTGCAGTAGTATCCTTTATTTTTTTTCATTACTTGGAGGAGAGGCCTAGGGTTCTACCTCGTTTAAGACGCCATTTTGAATAAATGAGGTAGGCGAGGAAGCGAAATTGTTTATAATTGTTAACGTGAATTTTGAAAAGGACAAGTTGTTTTGAAGAGAGTTTACGGGTTTCTTACCATATCGAATGAGAAATTTAATGCATGAAGTTCTCGTTAACTTTCGCGAGTAAAATTTTGCCTTCAGCCCTAATAAGTTCTTATGCCTTCCCACCTAATAAAGTTTGTATGTTTTTTAACTATTTTTTAAATTAAGAAGATAACCCTTACCTGAAGGCCGCGTTTTCCAGCTGGAAGACTCCATAGTTATTCTTACAGCAAAAAACACAAATAACTTGCTGAGACTCGACTGAAATCCAGTCAGCAAATAAAACTGTGTTTACGAATATTAAGGCATTTGTTTAACAACGGAAACTACATTCCACGTGAAACAATTATCACCCTTTGTCTTGTTGGTAGAGACCATAGTTCTTATTACGACCCTCGGAAAGCCGTGTGAAGCAATGCATTTTGGGAATGAGTAAACAAGGGAGAAACGATGTCGGTGCTCCAGTTGTCTGTGACACAGACTCAGTTTTAAAAAAATATTGGGAAATATTGACATTGTAGTTAATCTGAGAAGCATACGGCGAAAAAAACACAAATATCAACAAGCAATAGGAAATACAGCAAGAAAAACCTCCAAAAAATATACAGTTAATCGAGAATTTCTATTTACTAGGCAAATCAAGCAAACTGATGAAAACAAACATATTTTATGTGTGGAAAAATCGAAACTAATAAGTGTTTCAGAACGATTTTAGCGATTTGTTTTTATGAAGAAAAGGAGATCTACACCTACTTGCAGAAACGTCATAGAGAATATTACATTTGATTTTAGTAAAAGGGAATRAATTAATACAAARGAAAGAGTTCAGCCTCAGTGATCGTCTTTTGTGTAATTTAATTTATTCCTTTTTACTAAATACAAATGTCCTATTTTCTATGACAACGTTTCTGCAAGTAGGTGTATATCCCATGACACATTGCAAACCGATTCAAAATGGCGGGCTTGTAATGTGGATTACAGACTATATGCACCATGTCATGCATAAACTCACACGAGGCCCAGGGAGATCAAAACTACAGGTTATCAAATGTTTTCCCAGAGCATCGTCCTCAACTAATAAAAATTGATTTGAATTCATATTTATTGATCTAGTGATGATTTTATTCTGTATATTACATATGATTTACAATGATGACCAATCAAAACGTCGATTGAGAAGGTTTTGACGATTGGCTTCGCTTGACCATGTCTCCGGCACCTTTTGGTCTAGACGTTAGTTTTGCAAAAGTCAAATTAACTGTGTTCGGCCGATGAACTCTGCTACTCCTCGGCGCATCCATTGCCTTGCCGGCGCTATTGGACGCAATCGGAGGGAATGAGTTCGAGCCTTTGGTACAGAGAGATTTTTCTACGACCACCTGCTCGACCTTAGGAAAATTTTCGTGAGAAGATTCTTGGAAGTTTTTCGAACATTCACATGATTTTTCTTTACATTTTGAATTTTTATTGTCATGAAGTGACACGCTCTTGAAGAGATAATCTGCCAAATTTACTGACTCTGCAATAGAGGACTCTGAGGTGGTGGAAGACTCGTCTTGCGTTTYAGCACATTTMACTGTTTCAGAAGGAATTTCAATGAATTTCGCAGTTTCGTTGTGTTCCGTTACATCGCAAGTTTCGTTGACCTGAAATTCGTGAATATCATTTCTTGCATCGCCTTCTTTACTGTTCTTGTTGAAGAGTATTTCATTCTTTGCCGTTTTATTGCTCTTTTTTTGCGTTTGCTGCCAAAATGGATTTGATATGTTAACATAGGAACGCACTGACAAAGTTTCTTTAAGTGAACAGTCTGGCCGTGGTAGGTCTGGTAAGTAGTCTCGTGTCCAGGTTCTACACACAAATCCTTTAGCAAGTCTGGTTTTCTTTTTAGGCATGCCATCAGTCCGTGGCAGCCGTGGTGGCGACATTTCCCTCGAAGAACTAGCTTTTGAAGACGTTGACGAACTCCTTCGGGAATCGCTCACAATGTCTCCGATCTTTAACGATCCTTTGAGAAAAATTCGTTGGTTGTGCTTCGTGACCCAGTCGGAAGCTTGTCGTAATTGCATTTGCCTTCGGAGTTCGTTTATGGTCGTATTTCGTCGACGTCTAGTTGCTTGCTTACATTGTAGACAATGTTCTTCGTTGGCAGTATTGACAATAATTGGTTGGATATAGATATTACTGCCGTAACCTTTCCAGCCCTTAAATGAGAAACATGTCTATTCATCGCACAATACTTAAATATATGTAAAAGGTTATGTTGGTTGGTTGGTTGGTTGGTTGGTTGGTTGGTTGGTTGGTTGGTCGGTTGGTTGGTTGGTTGGTTGAATTGTTTGGTTGGTTATCAATTACATAACGAGTCAGTATTAGATAATGAGTTAATTCACGTAATTTTTGGTGTATTTTAACAATGTTGAGGCATAAAAAAAGAATATAAAACTGTCCAACAATATCTCAAAGACATACTTTTAGTTCTGTTTTCATTCCTTCGCTGCTGCATGGTCTCGTATCTTTCTCTCTCACAATTTCACCTTTGGAACCCATGTTGATCACGGTTTGACTTTCTAAAGCTGTATTTTCCTCTGCTCTGGTGGACTCTTCATTTTCACTGTGAACAACTTCAGTTTTCTGTGATAATTCTTTTTCAATTCCCGGTTTGATAGTAACAGAAACGGTTAAGCAAGGCACTTCTTTTTCCTCCGTTGCTGTGGAAAAGCTCTGGCTTAACGACGAAGCCGATCGCTCAAACAAATGCTCGCTCATGTTGTGCGCTAAAAGAAAGGCAAAACTGTGTGAGCTATTAGGATTTCTCTCGCTAATTATGTTACACAATAAAGCACCCGAAAAGCCTTTGTGCTTTTCTAATTAACACAACTGCGACAGTATTTTGGTCAATAATAGATCGCTTAGATGTCTTGTTATCATTTGCAAACGTTTACAGAAAAGTAGTTCACTCAAAAAGTAGTATTATGGACATGCAAGGACRCAGCTACYATAAAAAATGCKTCATAAATGGCCTTTTAAGTCGTTTATTCTTACGTGGTTTAACTAAAAGGTTAAATAGCGATAACTTTAGGCAAACAATTAAAAAAACTATGATCATTTAGATTCAAAAGATATTGATATATGAAGGTAAACAAATAAGTTCCTGTTTCACATGATTTGTAGTGAAGAATTAAGCAGAGTTTCGAACTAATAGCACAGATACCTTGATACTATTTTGAAGTTTTTTGCCTCTGAAAGCCTACCAAAGTATTCTGTGACTTTTGAATCAAGACTTAAAGCCAATGAAGATTTCTAGTCCAAATAACGAGCCCATAAAACTGTCTTATCACTTCGWAGAGAAGCATTTTCTTGCACGTTTTCCGCCATTAGGCAAACATACATTAGCTATCGGATCCACTAAAATCTATAGTTTGTTTACATGTAAATTTTCTTTGATTTTTATTTGAATGGGTTAATCTTCTGTATACAAAACACGTCATTTGATTGGCTAACACAGTATGAACAATTAGGTTGCTGTTAAGTGGGAGTGCTTTCGGTACTTACGGAATTACCTAAAACAGTCGTCTTGTTGCTATAGTGACATTTCAAACTGTTTTCAGTTTTGCTCTATTAATAAATTTGATCTCTTCATGTTGGTATGTTTGGTTTATATTTTCCTGTTTAGAAATCTTTCATTTTTGCATTGTTTTAGTGTTTTGACGGTTCTAATTGATATAATTTTTTTCCGGTTTTTCACTCCACATTACATAATACCTATAAGTAATAATTTTCTTAGCGTCATTTTACCTTTTCCTTCGGTCTTCTTGAATTTTTACCTCAATGGTTATACTTAATTAGGAAAGATTTTAAATCCAAATTGAAGTTAATAGTCCTCGATTCGTACATACTGATGGGTGCTTATCGGATTATCATTTAGCAAATAGTCTTGATTAATTGCCAAATCCATAGATAGGGAAAACATTTACGAAGAATTTAAATACATGAGTAGTAACATAACAAAATGAATGTTATACCGAATATATTGGCATATTCCTAGTTGATATCCAACTTCGAATAGGCTAGTAACATGTTTTGAACCTTATGAAAGTTAAGAAATATATAACTATATGTATACAATTGAAGGTGCATCAAAATCATCAAAAACAATAACTAGAACAGATGTTTAAAGGTCCAGTATCACCCTTGATGCTTTGCGCGCATTGCCATAACTTCGTTCTACGCAAAATATTTTGATGGCCATATTTCAGGCTTTTGAGAGCATGATTGAAACCCTTTATAACTACTTTTCAAAACAAAAAAAACTTTCGTAGAGGATCCAAGGTGATGCGTACACGACTTGATGATAATGGTGATTCAGTTATCAAAAGCCAGCGCAGTTATTAGCAGATGCACACACATAGGGAAATGACTGGTTTTTCCTTTTATTTTATTTCTGCTTGTGCTTGTGTAACCGACGCAACATAAACGCATATGCTTATGTCAAGTGGCTTCTGTTTCTGTTTTATGTTGTAGTCTATACCAGCAACGAACAGTTCCTATGTGGGTTTGCGAATGCGAAGTTCGCTTCAGCTCAAAAGATTTGAAAAGCTTTAAACTTAAGAAACTAGTAAAAAAGTAAAGATATGAAAATCTTCAGGTCATAAAATCAAAGAGGGTGACTAATTCAGAAATTCTTTAACTTTGTGAACGATAGTTACTTCCTAATTTCACTTCGATTACGAACTTTATTAAGGGGGAGGGGTATCTAAGATTTTTTTCACTTACATATAGATAAAAATTAGAGTTTATGATTAGAAGAATCATAAGAAAACATTGTTCAAAGATTGAAATATAAAAACCGTGAGA